CTCTACTTTCCAAATCCAAGGTCCATACTTCCTCTACACACTGTAAATGCCCCTTTAAGGGTAAAGTTTCCAACTTTACCCGCTAATAATCCTCCTTAATGATTTTAGTTAAAACCCTAGTTCATTAAGACGTAGATCTTTGTCCACAAGCCTTATTACTCCAACCCAAAGCATGAAAATCAAGATCTAGGCCCTAGACACCCAATGAACACGTAAAGTCTCGGACTTTACTTCCATGCATGGCCTTTTGGGGCTTAAAAGGCCATAATAACGTCCTTAAGGCTTGCATGGGGCTCCAATGGCATAAAGTTTGCACCTTTATACCTTAACAACCCTTAATGATTCTAGATCTGCAAGGTAAGCCACTTGGGACGTCCATGTCCCAAAAGATCTAGATTCTTGAACCAAAACTCTCATAAAATGGAACTAAAGAGATCTAATGAACTAATAGTCAAACTAGAGACTTGATTACCAGAAAGTGATGAGGATGGAAGGAAATCTTTGGATCTATTATCTTCTCCTTGAACCTTCTAGCTCCTTCTTCTTCTTCTTCTAGCTTCAAGAAAACACAAAATCACTCAAGAATGGCTCTCACACTCACAAAATGCTCTAGGGTTTCGAGGATTAGGGTTTGGGACTTGAAGGCTGTAAATGAGGCCAAAAGGTAGGGATTAAGATGCTTAAATAGGGTGCAAAACCACGAAATTAGGGTTTCACTCTGGCAGATCTACTCGCCGAGTCGAGGGCTCTCGACTCGTCGAGTAGATAGCTTAAAACCCGCATCCAAGACTCGTTTCTACTCGCCGAGTCTAGGGCTTCCAACTCGTCAAGTAGCTCTATAAAAATGAATAATTTACAAATAAAAGCATAGCAGAAACCAGGCGTTACAGAAGTTTAGTCCTTAGGGTTTAAATTTTTCATAGATGATCCCTGTGATTTCAAAACTTTTGACGATTGGTCCTTATTGCTAACTCCGTCATCTTTTGTTCGTTAACTGAAGGACATTTTCGTCATTTCACTACCTCATGGACCATTTATGAAGTTTTTCGTTATTAAAAAAAATAAAAAAGTAAAAATAATTATTAAATAAAAGACTCCCACCCTCTCTCTCTATAAATTCGTAATCGAAGATAACCTGAAGCCTTATTGGTCCAATTCTGCTCGTGATCTCTCTTTTCCCTATCCAAAAAATCCTTTTAGTATAACATCGTACTCCATAGATCTCATAAACTCTCTTCCAACATCATCTTCACAATTAATATAATCACAAGCGATCGGCGACGAACACAGCCTCCATTGCTTCAATTTTTTCCGATGAGTCATGGCGAAGGAAGTTTCAACCAAGGGCAGAAGGTAACATTAGGGTTCAAGCTACGATTTGGTAGAGATCCCATAAAGTTATTATCAGATGCATCAAGAAAAGTCAAAACAGGTAGTGAATATAATGTATCTGGAAAATCACCTGTGAAGTTGTTGTTGCGAATCATCATTCTCTTTAAATTCTTCAAATTCCCAAATTCCGAGGGGGCAGTTCCAGAAAGCGAATTTTAACTCAGATCAAGGACAATCAAACTAGCCAGATTCCTGAGTTGAGTGGGGATTGAACAAGTAAGTGAGTTTTTGGATAAATAAAGAATTGAAAGATGTGATAACAGACTCAAAGTAGATGGAATTGTACCATTAAGAGTGTCACTAAGATTAGACAAATTGTCGATACTAGAAGGAATAGCACCAGAGATTTCACAAGAACTAAGATGAAGAAACTTAAGGGTTTGAAGATGAAGCCCTAACCAATTCGGTATTGAACCTGGAAGTGAGAATCCTGGGGCATTAAACGAAATCAATTTGGTGAAATTGGAAAGAGCATCAACTGAAAATTTAGGGTTTCGACTCCTAAGTGGGGTTCTCGTAAACGCTCAAATATGGATCCCAACATCATGACCACCTTGACATAGAACACCAATCTAAGCTAAGCATGGGTCGGGTTTTATAGGTCATTCTATGGCTCTTAAACCTAATGATGCTCTGAGTTAGATCAGAGCAGCCCGTTCTGCGTTTGAATTCAACGGGAGAAACTGGTGGTGATGTTGAAATGTACTTCGGAAGAACAACAAGAAGAACAGTAAAAGCAAATTACACTTCATTATTATGATCTCAACCAAATGTTTTAAAAACCGGGTTTTTAGTTGGCCCGGTGTGATGACCGGTTCGGGTCAACCGGTTGAACCCCCGGTTTATGATATTTTTTCTATTTTTATATATTTTTACTTTCCTGTATAATACGTAAACATATAAAACCAATAATTTGATGTCCACAAAGTTTAAACATTGAAAAACATTGAAGAAACCGCAAACGACTCGTTGTTTTGGCGTTCTCTACTTGTATCCAACTATCCAAGCCCTATTAAAACGGGTCAATCCGGTTTTAACCGGTTCGACATAAGCGGTCGAACCGTGGTTTAGGGAAACCCGGCCAGTTCGATCTGGTCCGTATTTTTACAAAAAACCGTTCTCAATTGACCCGCCTTCTACCCCGGGTCACGGTTCAACCGGTTGAACCGACCGGGTCGACCCAGGTTTTAAAACATTGATCTCAACTAAACAAGCATTTGTTTGTTCATCTACATTAACCTTTTTCTTGAATGTAATACACGTATAAACGGAAAAATTGAGTAGCGAAATTAGCGATTCTCCATGATTATACTCCCAAACACATTGCTCTTACCTTGAATTATTCGAAATACAATTTTAATCTTCGATTCTACTGCGAAGATTGGAAGAACCAACAATCGCTTCATTGTTTCTATCGTCAACAAAAATGAGAGTTTTGGGACCCTTTTATATTAAATAATTATTTTATCTTTTTTATTTTTTTAAAATAATGAAAAACTTTATAAATGGTCCCTGAGGTAGTGAAATGACGAAAATGTCTTGGACAAAAGATGACGGAGTTAGCAACAAGAACCAATCGTCAAAATTTTTAAAAGCATAGAGATCATCTATGAAAATTTTAAATCCTGGAGACAACTTCAAATCTGAAAAAACCACATGGACCGTTTATGATGTTTTTTTTTTCTATGTATCGATGTAGGAATAATCATGTTAAACTTGATATAATATAATCTGACATCTTTACTTTATATATAATTACTCACGTTTTTGTTTTTGTCTTTTTATATATTTTAGATTTTTATTAGTGTGGCTGTATAAATTATATTTCAGTGGTGTAAAAACAATAAGTTTTTTTAGAAAATTACAGACTGCAAACCACATTTGCACACCTTGTAGTAGAAGAGGTGGATCAATCGTCTGTAACCTAAAAAAAATTGTTTGTTATTTAACGTTTGTATGCTGCTAAAATAAACTAAAATATAAATAAACTGATTTTTATAAACTTAAAAGAGTTTTTCAATAACTTTATGATTTTTTTTTATAAATAGTTAACAAATCTAGATCAAGTTTTATTTATTATTGTATAAAAAATAAAAATAAAATGGTACGAATAACATATATATTTGATAAAAACTAACAAGCTTTTGTCACAAATTTATATCTAAAAAATGTAACTAGACATTAAAGAATTGAACACATAAAATTTATGGAAATAAACTTCGATGTCAAAATCAAAATTTTCATTTTACTTTTATTCAAGTAAATCAAATAAAAACTAACCATAAATATTTTTCCAATGAAATGGATGACGCTTCATTAAATATTTACCTATATAATAGCTCAAACAACCATTGTAATTAAATATTTATTTATAAATTTGTTATAAAAGTCATGGTTGTGTTATCGAACCATTTTCCTTTAAGTATTGTCACTTTTTTTTCCAGATTGTTTATCTTATATAATGTTGGAATAAATATAAGTTTTGATTTAAAAAAAAATAAAGATATATGTGTTTTTTAGAATAAAAGATGATCGGAGAGGTTATAAGATTCTAGTCTACATATGTGCCAAGAAGATGGCACACATACCTTTTTAGGTTTACGATCTTCTGAAAAACAAACAGTCCGCGAAGGCTAATGTGTACGCGTGGTTTGCGCGACAAAGACAAAATAGACCAAGAAGATGTGTAGATAAAAAATAAACACCACCTATATATCATTATGAAGCTCTCACATTAGAAAACACAATCCATTAATGATTAACTGTATGTACAACATATATACGTATTTAAATGTGTCCAAAGCTAAGTAAACATATATAAATTTTATTAATTTCCAACAGATAATTCTTACATCTCGTATAATTATAAATTATAAAAAATACCAGTGAATTATAAGGTTATAAGGAGACTTGTTAAATACATGAACAACTATCCCATCACCCTCTTGAACATTGAGTGTAGGTCCTGGTCCTGGTAGGCTATTATCACTTGTCTTTTACACAATCGGTTTACAGTCAAAATTTTCACCTATAACTGTTATAAATATCACTTGTTAATACAATTTTTTAAATTCGAATAAACGTCCGATCAAAATTAGATCATGTAAATGTGCTTTTGTTATAAGAAGAGTTGAATATTATGAATGACTTCATGTAAATGTTTTTTTCTTCATGAGTTGAACCATTAGTCCGTTGTTTAGATGATCTAATTTCGATCGAACGTTTATTTGAATTTAAAAAATTATATTAACAAGTGAAATTTATAACAATTATAGGTGAAAAATTTGACTGTAAACCGATTGTGTGAAAGACAAGTGATAACAGCTATCAACGAAAGCCTACCAGGACCAGCACTGAATGTTCAAGAGGGTGATGGGATATTTGTTCATTTATTTAACAAGTCTCCTTTTATATATATATATATATATATATATATAGATATATATATATATATAGATATATATATATATATATATATATATATATATATATTTCTTTACTCTTATTTTCAAATAATATCTAGCTATTTTATTTAATATAGGCATGGGATATTTCAGAGGTCGACACCATGGGCTGATGGACCTAGCTCCATCACTCGGTGCCCGATCATGCCGGGGAATAGCTACACTTATCGGTTCAACATCACCGGCCAAGAAGGAACACTTTGGTGGCACGCCCATGTACAATGGCTTCGGGCAACTGTCTATGGGGCATTAGTCATCCGACCAAGAGGTGGACAAGAATACCCTTTTTCCTAAGCCCTTTCCAGAAGATATAATCATCATTGGTACATTTTAGTTATTTTATTTTATGTATCATATATTATATATGGTGAAATGAGTAGTTTTTATCTAAATTTACTTATGGATATATGTTTTAGGAGAATGGTGGAATGCTAACCCCATTGATGTAGAGAAGGCTACCTTAGCCACCGGTGGCGTAGCTAACAAGTCTATCGCTTACACCATCAATGGGTGGCCCGGGGATTTATATTCTTGTCCTTCAAGAAGTAAGTCGATTAATCATTAATCGGTATTTATTTTATAAAGAGTTAAATCATTTGTTTAATTGTATTTCAAATACACACACTTTGGAAGTTGTGCAAGGGAAAACATATCTGTTACGCATAATCAACGCCGCCCTCAACACCCAAATGTTTTTAAAGATAGCCAACCACAGCATGACTATAGTGGCGGCGGACGCAGCCTACACAAACCCATATCCTACATATGTTATTGTAGTGGGTCCCGGTCAAACAACTGATGTCCTATTGACCACTAACCAGTCACTGGGATCCTATTACATGGCTGTCCGTGCGTACATTAGTGGAACCGGTCGCACTTTACAACAGCACCACCACCGCAATCCTTACCTACCGGAACACCACCACCATGCCGCTGCCACTTCTCCCGGACATGCCGCCTTTCAACGACACCCCAATCGCATTTAAGTTTATGAGCAATCTAACATGCCTCATAACAAGCCCGTTTTGGCACCCTGTATCACAGAAAGTAGATGAAAACATGTTTATTACGATAGGGCTAGGGATATCACCATGTGCAAGTGGAACAAAATCAACAAACCAAACTTGTGCAGGGGCGTAGCCAATATAGGGCAAGAGTGGGCATCGGCTCACCCACACAAAATTAAAGTTACATATATATGGTATGTATAATATATATTTTTGTTAAATAAAAGGAATTAGGGTTGTGATATGACCTATTTCATTCAAAACTTGAAATTAATAGAAGAGAATACATTGTTGTCTATGTCGATTAGACTACATTTTAGATTATTTTAATGATGTAAGACAACATCGTGTGCAACTTAAATATAGGGATGAGAATTTGGCTGGAAAACCCGAACCGAACCGAATTAGGCCCGAATAAGCAATTCAAATTCGGGTTTCGGGTATCTATATTATGCTTATTTGGTTCTCGGGTTATTCGGTTCGGGTTATCCAAATAAGAGCTTATCCGGTTCTAAATACCCGACCCGAATAAGCATTCCTCCTCCCCTTTTCTGATCGACAGAAATCAAAATCACAATTCTCACTTCTCTCCTCGTCGTTCATAGCAGAAAAAAAAACCTATGCTCGTTATCGTCATTTCAAATGGACCAATCTTCTCATATATTTTCAAACTCGAAATCACTTCTGTCGATCCTTCCTCATGTTTCAAACTTTCAAAAACCAACCATTCCTACTGTCTCTAAGGATTCACGAATTCCTACTTTGTCTAGTCATGGAAAATTGGGCTACAACTCAAGAAACTCAAATAATAAATTAATTCTCATTATGTTAATCTACTATGTAAATGTTATTCTTTCAATGTGTTATTGTGTTATGTTAGTCTTTGAATGTTTTATGTTGATGTATAAAAGCACATTGTTATTCTATTATTCGGGTTATAAAATCCTAATACGGATTATTCGATTTTTTTCGGTTATATTAGGTCATTAATCATCTTGTACATGTTATTCGGGTAATAACCGAACTGAACCCGATTAATACATGAACCGAACCGAACCGGTATTGGTTAATCGGTTCGGTTTTCGGTTCATACAATTACCCTTATTCGGTTTTCGGGTTATTCAGGTTCGGGTCGGTTCCGACCTGAATAGCATCCTTACTTAAATAAACAATTTAGTTAAGAATGCATATATATATATATATATATATATATATATATATATATATATATATATATATATATAGTTATATTTTATTATCGTTTGAAGAATTTTGTCTCTCGTTCAAATTTTGTATATTATTTAGTTTACCCTAAAACAAAATCCTAGCTATGCCACTGAACTTGTGGAGGCCCACTCGGGCAGCGCTTTTCCGATAGCATGAACAACCACTCCTTCGTGCTTCCGACCAAATTGTCAATCTTGGAAGCTCATTTCTTTAACGTTAGTGGGATCTATACGCCGGACTTCCCTAATGAACCACCGGTGAAATTCGATTACACCAACGTCAACAATAGTTTGAATCAAGCCCTTCTGAATACACCCAAATCAACGAGCGTGAAGAAACTAAAGTATAATTCGACGGTGGAGATTGTGTTTCACAACACTGCATTGATCGGATATACCCAAGTCAACCATCCCGTACACTTGCATGGATATAACTTCTTCGTGTTGGCTCAAGGTTTTGGCAACTATGACCCCGTCAAAGACAGGAAAAAGTTTAATCTTGTGAACCCACAACAACGGAATACTATCGGTGTGCCTGTCGGCGGTTGGGTGGTCATGAGATTTCGAGCAAATAATCCAGGTAAAATATAAACTTTCCGGCCGAAATTAGTTGTGCCTTTTCACTTTTTAGTCATTTATATATTCGTTTTTACAATTTACAGGTGTATGGATCATGCACTGTCATCTGGATGTACACTTGGGTTTGGGTTTTGCCACCGCGTTTGTGGTTGAAAACGGAGGGACAGAGGACTCGACGGTGCCACCGCCACCGGCGGACTTGCCAAAGTGCTAGAAGAAAACTGAAAACGTCCGTCTTTAATCTTATTATGTGTGTGTGTGGGTGTTTGTGCAGTTATTATATAGAATAAAAGTTGATCCTTGTATCGATAACGTTTGACTTGAAGCAACGGCAATCTTATAAGTTTGAAACACGTAAAGGAAAATAAAAAATTTTGGTATTAGTTTTTCATATTTAAGCCAAATACTTCTCCAATTTTTCCACTTCGTCTACGCTTCCAATGTATAGAGGAACTCGTTGATGAATCTGCAAATAGAAAGTAAAAATTTGGTGAGTGTTTGACTAATTGAAAAGTCAAAGTAAACATGTGTACATTGTTCTACGATTTACGAACCTCAGTCGGCTGGATGTCAAGTACTCGTTGATGCCCATCGGAGCCCTTTCCGCCGGCCTGTTCAACCAAGTAACTCATCGGAGCACACTCATACAAGAGTCTAAGCTTCCCGTTCTTGCTCTTTTTGTCCCGAGGGTACCCGTAAATTCCTCCGTACAAAAGCGTCCGATGGAAATCACCAACCAAGCTACCGATATACCTAGCGGAGTAAGGTTTTCCGGTAGGACCAGGGTCCTTTAGGTCATCCATGTATTTCTTGAGCTTATCATCCCATAGTTGATAGTTTCCTTCGTTAAACGAGTAAATCTTACCCGATTTTGGGATTTGGATCTTTTCTTGAGTCAGAACAAACTCACCATACATTGGGTCTAATGTGAATGAATAAACGCCGGTTCCTATGGAGAGCACGAAGATGACGGAGCTTGAGTACATGCAGTAACCGGCTGCCAGAAGGTTGGTTCCGGGCTGGCATACGTTCACGATGCACCTCTGTTCCTCGGTGTCCAGCTGCATATACAAGAATTAATTTCTATTGTTAGTTTCAAACATCTATTTTCACTTCAAGAGCCAACATTCTGCGTTTGATTGGAATCTGTTTGAGCTTAAAAGTCAAGTTGATCGGGAAGTTACCGTGGAGTTATCGTCAAGATCAGGGAGACACTCGTCGTTTGGACTGTAGATTCCGAAAATAGAACCAGTTGAAACAGCAGCATCAATGTTGGATGATCCATCAAGAGGATCAAACACCACAATGTAGTTGCCGGAGTAACTCTCTTCCACCGCCACAGGCACATCCTCCTCCTCCGATGCAATGATCCCAGTTCTTCCACTCGATCTCAAACAATTCGAAAACACCTGTTGAATCCACCACATTTTTCAACTAGTTAACACCCAACTCTTTTTTCCAATTCAATTAGAAATGGATGAATGTATCACTAAATGAAGTATCCGATTGGGTATCATATAATTATTTCATCATTTCATGCAAGATTTGAAGAACTGTTCATTTGTGAAAATTCGCAACACCCTGTTTTCCCAAAGTGACGCAAAATAAATAAATAAATAAATAAAAGTCACTGTAATCTTCTTCCAGTTAAAACTCAAGCAAAAATTTACTCTACTTATTATATAATTTTTGTCTAAATGTATTGGGATCAATTTGAGATATGATTTGCGAAAAAGTACAGTACTAGTGACAGTGACGTAACAAACCTCATTGGAGATGACATCGAGCTTCTTCTGATCCTCTCCCTGAATATTAACAGCTCCCTGAACTCCGGTCATGTTGGAGATGCTGGCTCGCTGCACCAAAGATGCGATCTGTTTACAAGCCATTGAAATGCTGGACAAGACGATGGTAAGTTCAGCATCGATGATTCCAGATTGCTCTTGTTTCAACAACCAGGTTGTCAATGTCATTATCTGATAAGAACTCGTCTTCTTTACGGACGCCGCCTCTGCTGCCACCGCCATGCACCGTACTCCTCCTGTGGTGGTGGCGGCACCACCACCGGCGACCGGAAGCTTTCTCTTGGAGCATGAAAAGAGGGCGGTTTTGAGAGGGGATAGGCGTGAAGTTGAGTGGGAACTGGAGAAGTGAAGGAGGTTTGAAGATGTTGTTGCTGCCATGGCTGCGTTCAGAAGGCAAAGATTTGTGTTTTTTTTTTTATTTTGTAAAGTATTTTTATTAAAAGTTTAGATTGGGATATGGAAATGTGAGGCTGGTGAAGGGGTGTATGAAGATGGGACCCAGCTATCTACCACTCATTTGTGATCCTTGTATAATAGAAATATTCTTTGAATATTAGAATCAACAATTGGGCCTTCAATCGGGCCAAAAAAGATAATTATATATGTGTAGTTAGAAAGAAAATGTGCAAGTAAATGTGTGTCCAGTGTCCACAATTCGTATTCTTTCAAATTGTCTTAAAGGCCTATCATTATCATATATGGAACTTGTTTAAGCGAGAAATTCGAAGCCCATCTATGAAGAAGTTGTTTAGGAGAAACTAATCACGGAGAAGTATATAAGCTCAATAACGCTCAAGTTTACGTCGCATTGTGTTCAATTGAAAAATCCAAACAATTTGGATACGCTTACGACTTACCTTAGATGAACTGCATAGCAACTCTTAATACATGAACATAGAATGTTTCTTATCTTTGGCATAAGCGTTTTGTCACATCCAATAATCATATGGTAAATGGGATGCCTTTAATTAAAGAATTGACAAACATACATGGGAAACAACACATGGAGTTATAAATATTATAAATTAACTTTCCTAATATTTCATTGAACTTTGTAGAGTTCAATGCATTGTAGGATAAAGTTTCATGAAATGTAAAACGATGGCGCAACAATCCATTGAATTTTATAGAGTTTAGTGCATTGTAGATGTTTTTACTTAAATAACTACTAATAATCGGGGAAACATTCCTAAATAATAGTGTGACTTGATAACCAAATAATGAACTCCTAATTTGGATAGGAATTTATTCACAAAAAACTTATCCAATGATAATTTTGGAAACGTTTCCTTAACAGAAAATAACACAAAAACAACAACAAACCCTGGATATCCTATTGAGATAGGGTAGGGGAGTTAGTCAAGTTTGTAAAACAAAATTGCAAAATCAGTTTAATCAAACACCTCTTTGATTAATTGGAAAAATAACTCAAAAACCAATTATGTTTTTCTGCATAATATCATGCCTCGATATCTATACATATATATACTCCTAAAACTACTGACTTGTAGAATTAGATCACAATTAGGAAACTAGAAACCGACTTGTTTATGATTTCCTAAAAACTAGGCTGGTCTCCAAGTCCTACTCGACTTAGGATTCCAACAATCACCCCCGAATCTCTAAGTCCTTCTAGAGAATTCTTCAACCCCGTTTCGTTTTTTAAAAATCGGATTCATCGCTGTCGTCACGTTCCGAAAAATCACCTTCTCGTAATTTTTGGAGTCGTTCCGGACATTCAGACGCAAAGTGACCCGTTTTGTCACACCGAAAACAAATCACCTTAGGTCGGTCTTTTTCCCTATTTTTCCGATTTTTGTCGCAACAGCAATTACATTTTTTGCAATTGGGTTGAGATAAATCAGAATTGGACTGTTTAATGGGCCGATTACTTTGAGAAACACTATTATTTCCTTTGGGCCCACCTGACCCACATGACCCTCCAGATCCGGATCCACTTGACCTGTTAGTCCCATTAAACTCATTCGATCCTTTCCACTTTCCCTTCGTTCCCGACGAGTTACCCCCACCAACCGACGAGCCTTCTTCAAACGTCGATTTCACAAATAGCACCTTTGATTGATCGCTCCCATTGGTATCCTCTTCCCTTACTCTTTCCTCGTAGGCCTTTAATCGTCCAACCACATCCTCGAAACCCACCGTCTTCAGATCAAGAACTTGCTCAAGGGAGGCCACGATGTGGATGTATTTTCTTGGCAACGACTTGAGAAATTTCTTCACCATCTTTGATTCTTTAATCGTTTCACCTAGTGCTGCCGATTGTGACGAGATTCCGGACAGTTTTCCGGCGAAACTATCGATTGTTTCTGAATCGTTCATCCTGAGCCGATCGAACTCGGCACTTAGGGTTTGAAGACGGGCCTCCTTCACCCTATCAACCCCTACATAACGAGCCTTGATCGATTCCCACAGAACCTTTGAAGACTCGACATCGCCAATTTGCATTATCAAGCTTTCTGGAATTGCCTGGTAAAGCAACCCCATAGCAAGGTAATCTTTCTCCTCGGTCTTCTCTGTTCCTGGATCGATCACTGTCCAAGCCTTGTGAATCTTTAATACCACTTTCATTCTTATTGACCATACCGTGTAATTCGTTGAGTTCAGCATAGGACACGCTACAGTGGTTGACCCAACTTCCTTCACTCTCACCGGAGGGGGCCCTGCACCATCTTCACCATCCGACATGTTGACCTAGCTTGTCAACAGGTAACAAAATCGATCTCACAGCCTTCGATTCCTTGGCTTTGATACCAATTCAAGTTTGTAAAACAAAATTGCAAAAACAGTTTAATCAAACACCTCTTTGATTAATTGGAAAAATAACTCAAAAACCAATTATGTTTTTCTGCATAATATCATGCCTCGATATCTATACATATATATACTCCTAAAACTGCCGACTTGTAGAATTAGATCACAATTAGGAAACTAGAAACCGACTTGTTTATGATTTCCTAAAAACTAGGTTGGTCTCCAAGTCCTACTCGACTTAGGATTCCAATAGTTAGATGTCGACAGTCGTGCTTCCATATGGGGTAAAAGGACTGCGTCGAATAGATGACCTCCGACATACGCAACTGACGACATGTAAAAAAAACAAACATTTAGTGTAAATTAGAGCATAAATACATAAAGATTAAAAAAAATCAAATTAGGGTCTCCAACTCCAATAACCTAGAAAATAGGTAAGACAACAGGAAGTAAGTAAAATGTGAGCAGTAAAACAATAGATGAATAAACAATTATGCAAAGATAAGATCACAAAATATATGTCAAACTGCTGATCATGAAACAAAACATACACAGGAGCAAGGCTACCCGTCTACTATGATGTTTAGTCTTAACACACTCCTATTTGAGGTCATGTTATCGGAATGAGAAAACCCCTCCACATCAAGCCTAACGCTCTCATCCAATTTGAAGTGATGTCCTCAGAAAGATAAAATAACTCACATAAACAAAATTTCTGCCAAAGTGTTGCCAAAAAAAGGATGGAATCAAATTATACTTCAACAAACTCCACCCTTAGACGAATTCCGTATTTAGAAAAAGTAACATTCAAACCTTCATAAGGAATAAGTTTGAAAAAGTACCAGAAGTGCCAAAAGCCACTAAGAACTTAAACTTGAATGCTAAAATACCTTATGGTATCAAATGTGCAAAAATACCTTACAATATTGACTTTGATGAATTTTTTTGCATCTGTAGCAAGGTGGGATACAATATGAATGATACTAGCACCTATTGTACGAAGTGAAGCACATTCCATCCTAGTTTAAACTTTTTTGTAGCAATAACTCCTCATGGGCATGAGAGCCATATACAATTGATATTTTCCCGAAATAAAGTGAAATAAGCAATTAGTTAACAACTTGGAACATGAAAATGCTAATAAAGAAATTCAAAGTTCATAACTCATAATACAACTTGGGTACTCTACAATCTAAAAAACAAAATGAATACATCAACACCTATTCATAAAATACTATGAAAAACACAACCACCCAAATTCAAAGTTCCTTAAAGATACAAATTAGGGTTCTTTTTGCCATCGTTGACTTTCCACATCACCAAAGAAAAGTCAACATATCAAGTCATAATTGCTGAATAGAAACTTTGTTTCATCAACTAAGCACCATCTAATACGTCCACGTGTACATTATCACTTTCTTCATTCACCTTCCCGTTTGCTTGACTTCTTGACCTCTGTATCACCAACATTATAAAAGTCAATCACTTAACTAAAATAAAAAACAAAAATAATTTCAACAAACTTTAATGTTTATAAATATAAATTCATAATACCCGATCTACAGGATCACCAGAGTTTCCATTCACAAGTTTAGTCCCTTCTTCTTTCATTCTGCCATCCTTGCTCAAAGGTAACACAAGTCCACCTAGACTTCGATCAGGCAGCTCTGAAAATAATATTAGAATTAATAAATTCATAAACATGATAATAAAAAGAATTAGATACAATACAAGAATATATTTGTTTATGTTATACTAACCTGGTAACTTGTGATCAACAAAGAACACAACCAAATTAACTGTGTACCTGTGGTAACAAATTTATAAACTTAGTACATGACGAAATTAATAAAAAAAAAATGTGATGAAGATATATAAAAGGTTTAATGAAGTGTTATTTTACCATGCCACAATGACATCAACTGTGTAATGCTTACGAGATGCAATTATTAATAAACTCTGAACCACGGCTATTAGCCAAGCACACTGTTTTATAAATCTACAAGAAAGAAACAATAAAGAATTTAAAAAAAAAAATAGTTATAATGTTGATATTTGATAAAGTTAAGTTAAGTTTTAAACATTACCTCCGGGAACCATATTTTTGATATGTTCTAACAAATACCAGAGAAAAGATCATATGAGATGAGAATATCAAATCACCACAACCATAAAGAACACCCCGGGGAACTGCAAGTTTAGATAATATTTATAGAAAAAAAAAAAAATATATATATATATATATATATATATATATATATATACTTTTTAACCAAAAAAAAGGGAGAAAGAATAAAACTTACTAATTACAAAAACTTCAAGAAGATTATCTGGACGAGGCAGTGTTGCAAGACGTGAGCCCTGAAATTTGGCAAGATAAATTTCAAACATATGAGTGAAATTTAATACTCAATTTTGAGTGTACTTTTTAAATATTTTAATGATTAGTAAACAAATAAAGTAAATAAAATACAATACAAGTTAAATAATAAATACCTCACGGCAATGGTAGTTTGGGCCAGGCAGTATAGTTGAATAAAATGTAATGATACGAAGAAATTGACAAGCCTGCAAAAGTTAAGAAAAAAAGATTAAACATCTCAAGTTTATTACACAAAAAAGAAATAATAATAATAAGAGTTTATTGTGAAACTGTGTATATGTATATATGAAGGTACAGAAGGCCACTTACAACTAGAAACGCGAGGACTCTGACCCAAATAAGAACTGTGTATATTTTTTTGCTTTTGAATATGAAAGGATGGAAAGTCCACTGGACAAGAAGAAAAGTCAAACAGTACAAAAGATGAGGACAAAATGTACATAACAATCATAAATGCAAAGTAATTAGAGCTTACAAAACATTAAATGGAAAGAATAATTACCAGGACAAAGGAAAGGAAGACAAAGGTGAATACTGTCTCACTGACATATGCTCTTTCCTGCCCAAGTTCCTTCACGAAAAATAAACATAATTATAAAAAAAAATATGATCATTAGCACTTTAGAGACATTCAGAATGTGTTTTATGAATAAAGAAAGATCAGAGCTTTGAGTTATACATACAGGAAGAAGTAAGAACCCGGAGTCTTGTAGAATTGGTCCAGGATGATGAAAATAATGAACTGATCGAGCTGCCAGCCCATGAATGTACTGAAAAAAGTTGTTCCAAAATGAAATATAATAAGAATATTGTGTTGCTATGAGAGTTAAGCAAATAGAACAGAGTGAAATACTGGAAGATTTAGCTATCAATATATCACCAATACTGCAACATCATTGGTGAATATGGTAAGCACCTTTTGAAATTTAATTGGCCAGAAAAGTGGGAATTAATGGAGTAAAAAACAACTTTTCAAATCCAAACAGTTTTTAAAGTAAAAAGATGCTGTCATCCTTGCATAAGATCACTGATAAAGCCTTCACTCAAGGAAGAAAAAAGCTGATTTGAGTAAAAGGGTCCAGATTATTATATCGTTCATCTCTACTCTGAACTTGATCTATGGATCAAGATGCCTCAACAGAACTGGAGATAACAAGAACAACGAGATTAAGATGAAAAAAAAAAAACCTGGCAAATTAAACCGCCGAGAATATACTTCCAATTCTCCAGAAGAAGGTTGATTTCAGTTGTAGTTTCTGCACATATTCTTTTCCAAAGCTTTTCAAAAGAAAAAAAAATCAACAACAATGGAAAATTAAAGTTAGATTAACGAATTACTTGTTCTAAAAGGAATGATTATAGGAAATTACAGTGTAAAAGAAATCATACCTTGGAAGCCTCGCGACCAATGTAAAGCGACATCGTATGAGTGTGTGACAGCCAATGCCATATTACATCATAAACCTAACAGTTAACGACGACATCGCTCTTCACAAAATCAACAAAAACCAACCTTTATTTCTTCTAAATCCTAAATCGATATATCAAATCTTCCAAAGTCGGTTTTAATTTTTGAGTCGTACGATTAGCAAATCAATTCGTAAATCCCTTGAAATCGAGACAAATACGGTGAATTTCACAGCAAATCAGACTTTTCAAAAGATCGAACAAAATCGGAAAACAGAGATCGAAGAAATAATATTAAAATACTTAGAACTCGAGAATCAAAAGTTCGATTTCACTGATGGCTGCTCACGAAGAAAATTCTTTATATGATTTCGCTGAAACGCGAGTTGAACACGGAGCGACCGTTGAGAGAGAAGAAAGTGATTAAAAAGGGGGCTTTGGTTTTACGGCAGGCCATTAAACAGCCCTCAACTTTATAAATATTTCATTTTTCAACCCTCAAATTCTGAAATTAACATAAAGACCCTTTTTACAACCCTCTTTTGAGTTCAACTTAACGAGAGAAAAAAAAAAAGGTGAAAATGAGAATAAAATAAAAGAAATTGGTGTATCCGAGTTTCATTAAAATAAATAAGTGGAAGAAAATGGAATAACCACTTTCTTTCCTAACTTTACTTCCGATTTAGAAGGATTTGAAGAGAAATAGCAAAATATTTAATTTTCCTTTCATTTCTCTCCAACTAGAAATACAAAAGACAAATTTCTTTTCATTTCTTTTCTATTCTTTTCTCTCCTTACTTTTTTTACTTTTCTTTGCTAAAACTTGAAAACTATATATAGGGTGCAAACTAGCGAGCCTGGTGTTTCAATTCATAACAAAAATATTTGTTTTAATTTCATTTATTTGAGTTTATTAAGATGCATGAGGATTGAATGGTATATCAATTTGGTCTTAAAATATACATTTTTGATGAAGACCGAATTATAAAGTTCAATGGTCCATATCAAATTTTAATCTAGTTTATACTGCTTTTTTCAATAATATGAAACCAAAATCAATTTGGATTTAATTGATCGAATTGAATCAAATCGGTCCATTAAAATAAAAACCTCTAGTTATAAAGATATGTAGTGATGATACATGTTTCTAAAATATATGTAGGTACAATTGATGTTTACACAAAATAAGAAACTTAAAACATAGCCAACCAACGTAAGAATTATGTTCTTACAGTGACTTCTTATATTTCTAAACAAGATCATGTCATCCTAAAACCTATTTTCGATGAGTACTCAGATTTCTAAATAGAAAAAAGTCAATCAATGTAATGGCAAACATACCATGAGTCGTGTGATATACTAATTTAACAAAAAGAATCTTATAAACATGATCTCTAACCCAATCCAGTTCACTTCCTTAATTTACCGTATGGAACTATATCGAAAATGCAAGACGCGAATAGTGTAAGTTATATATTTCCTTGAGCAGTATCATTTGCTTTGTTTCGGTTTCATCATAATATATTTGCATACATTTTATGTAAACAATATAATAATGTCAGTCTTACATTCCAACGACAATAATATTTTATTTAACATAAATAATACAAGTTGTATCTATAAGTATTTTATTACATAAGCACGAAATAAAGTCATCAACCATCAATACATTTATCGTATAGGTTGTTGTACTTGTTTGTGTCTTTCTTACAGTCATCTTATGTACAAACTTAAAGATCTAGTATGTTCAAGAGTCATATTAAAGTGATATTGTTAATTAACATATGATACTAATTGGTCATACTAACAACAACTTGATACAATTGATTATTTATTATAAATTAATTTTAATAAATATTCAGTAAACACTTATAAACACTTACAATTAATTGGAAATTATTTATTTCATGTAAATATTAGTTTTTATTAGCAAGTAACATAATATATCATATTGTATGACTTATTAAGTCATGTACATTATTTTTTGGACTAGAAATACTCTTTTGTCTTTTAGCTAAAAGTTAAATTTTATATTTTATAAAGAGTTATAAGAATTTTACAAACTTCTCTTCTCTTTATATATATATATATATATATATATATATATATATATATATATATATATATATATATATATAAAGATTAGTTAGTTTCTAAGAAACAAGACATGATATTTTGAATATTATAAGGGAAAGTAAGCATGGCTTAAGAGTCATGAGAGACATGTAGACTTTAGGGTATGAAGTGCTTAAAGTGTTAAGAACTCTTGGGTAATGACTTAGCTATATGAAGGCTTTTATTCATTCATTTTTTTACTCACCAAAACCGTAGCTCCCTCATACTCTCTCATATTCTCTCTTGCAAATAAGTGTTAGAAGATTACTTGCTTGCATTTTTCTCTCTTTAACTCATATTTTGATATGGACTTAAAGCTTAAGAGTTTTCTTACAAAGACTAGCATCTTTACATCAAGTTGAGTTATTATTGGTGTCTCAAAGGTTCCACATTCTCTATCAACTTCCAAGCCTCCCAAGAGGACCCAAAGAACTACAAAAGTTGTTATTTTATTCATCTTCTTCTTTGGTTCTTGTCTTTCTTTCCAAACTTTGCAAGAAGATCCATGGTTGGTTATAAACTTGTTTTATGTTATTAAAAAAATCAAAGTCTTCCGTTTCTAAATCTCTTGTTTTTTACACTAATTTTTAAATAAAAACCAAACAATTGGTATCAGAGCCACCTTGCAAGTTTGGTTAGATTTTATGATTTTTGGAAATCTTAGTTTTTGGAGAATATGGATAACTTGTTTTTGTATAAAAATAAGTTCATACATATTTTCTTTGACAACTTCTTAATTTTTATTTTATATGACAAAAGCTTACATGCAATTTTTGTCACTTAAAGTTGTCTTAGTAAAACAAATGTTGTTTTATGTTTATATGTATTTTAGAGTACATAAACAAGCATTGGACCATTTGTGTAATATCCCAAAATTAGAGACCAAAAATTTCATTTTTAATTAAGTTATTATAAAACCATAAGTAATAAAACATCCATAATAACATCTCATGTCAAGAACCAAAGTAGAAATAATCAAAACATGTTATCATAAAACAATATCAGAGTGTAATCCCCAATATCTCATGTGCGGAAATATAGTGTGATGCGTCGCGATCGAGCCGACTCCTTTCCTTTGAAAACGAAGTACCTGAAACCAAAACTGAAAACCGTAAGCACAAAGCTTAGTGAGTTCCCCCATCATACCACATACCATACAGTACACATACTATCAGGCATATCCGGGTGCCCGACTTACCCCTTCGGTCCTACCGACAGGATGCTGTCGAGCATATCTGGGCGTTGGCCTCCCTTCGGTCTATTTCAATCGGATAACTGCCTAGCATATTTGGGTGTTGGCCTCCCCTTCGGTCTATTTCAACCGGATAACTGTCTAGCCTATCTGGGTGCTGGCCTCCCCTTCTGTCTATTTCAACCGGATAACGAGGACTATTTCACCCCTACCACTACCACATAAGTACTAGCATATAAACATATACATATACTGCCTAGCATATCTGGGTGCTAGCCTACCCCTTCGGCCCTATCGACCGGATGCGGGACTATTCCCTACTGTCACTATCACATAACATCATACCATGCTAGCACATAAAACATAACATAACATGCCAGACAATTATCACAAAGGCAATCATCCAATCAATCAACTCCTACTAGTGGGCCGACATTGTGGCCTTAGACCCACTTCTACTGGAAGGTAACTCACCTCACACTGTTGAAGTCCCGTTGAACCAACCCCAGCTGCTGGATGACAGGTTCCCGAGCTGTCAACATCAAAATAACACCCAATTAATAATTGGGTTCCAACACATAACTATAAGTCCATGCTTGGGGTAAAAGACTGCTTTACCCCAATCTTAGCTTGATCCAAGCCCAAGGCCCAATCCAAAGGCCCAACATTCAACTATGAGTCAAAGCCCAACATATGGCCCAATTTTCCAAATTGGGCCCAAAACTTTACATGGCCTTATTCTAAAGCCTAACCAAAAAGTCCAGTCCAAACATTTGGCATTTCTAATGGCCCAATATCATATAATCATAAGGGCCCAAACTATGGCCCGTCTATGGCCCAATTTTCCAAATTGGGCCCCAACCCCCTACATGGGCCTTACCTTAAAGCCCATTAAGTTATTCTAGTCCATTTGATTGTTCTTGGATGGCCTAATATTGGCCCAATCACCAAATCCCAATAGAAAGGCCCAACTCAAGGCCCAATTAAAAATTAGGGTTTCTTACATGAAATGATGATTAGGCTTAAGTGTTCCTACTTAACCCATTAATGACTTAATCCATCAAGTCCAATATTGCTTTAGGTTGATTGCAAATTATTATTAATTAATATATTAAGTTTAGTGAATAATTCAAGTGCGGGTCCCGATCAAATTCCCAAAATTAGGGTTTCACATGAAATGACAACTAGGGTTAAGTGTTTCTCACTTAACCCATTAAGGACTTAATCCATTAAGTCCATCACTCTTCTAAATAAATCATATGGTGTGATTAGGCTTAATACACAATTCCATTTCAAATGGCCCAAATGTGGGTCCCGATAAGTCCAAGCCCATAAATCCAATATTAGGGTTTTCTAAACCCTAATTAGGGTTTCCAACCCCATCTTAGCCCAATAGGCCCAATAGCTAGGTATTTTGATCAAATTAAGGTTCATTAGGCCCATTAGGGTTTTATTCCCTTGTCCAAACATCCCAAATGAGTCACGACACAAACGAGGCACACCGCCACCCGACACGGCGGCCGGTGGCGGCAGAAGGCGGCAGCCACCACCCTACGGTGGTGGTTTGAGCATCTTTCCATTATTCTTCTTTCTAGTTACATTTTACAATGCTAAACTCCAATAATCACACACACACACACACACACACACACTAATACAAATACATATAGACAACAACCTAGTGGCCGGCGGTGGCACGTGGTGGTGGTGGCCTTCTTGGTTTTCCAGCCACACAAAACTCACACACATTCACTTCATAATATACTCCATCGGAAAAATAAACCCAACACCAACCTATGGTGGGCGGCGACGACAGAAGGTAGAAGGACTGGCGGCAGGCGGCGGTGATTTGCGATGACAGCAGCTCCTCGGCGACAGTCTGCAACGGGCTGAAGTAGCGACTCGAGTAACAGAATCGACCCATGCAGCGGCGGTGCTCGTAACTGAGAAACGGAGACCACCGTGAACGAAGCCACGCCGGCAGCAAGAAATAAAGAAGAGAGGTGGCGTGAGATGGCGGACAACGGCAACTATATCTTCACCGTCTCAGCGCAACAGGGCAGCAAATCTCGGTGGACCCTGTCG